GCATGGCCATCCTCTAGGGGGTGATTTCTCGCTTTCTGTCTCTCTGTCTCTCTCTGTCTGTCTATTAAGCGCATGCGCCCTATAGCAAAAATCTCAAAAAAAAAAAAAAAAACCTTCACAAGCCTATTAGAAATGCCACTTGCAAAATCTAAGCCAGTCCTAATCAGGCTATGCCTTTGCATTTCAAGGTAACCACCTCCCCAGTTTTTAAGAGCAATCCTCAGAAGCTGGGACTCAGAATCCTTCTCCCTTCTAAAAAGCTTTCCTATAGGATGGCTTTTTACAGTTGGAAAGTGATGGAAGCCATGTGGCTGACAGTGACCTTTCTACTTATGCATATGCCATTTAAGTGACTAAATCTCCGAGAGAGTTTGGGTGGGGAAACACCTGGAAGGGTTGTGTCTTACAACTATGATTGACAAATGGTCTCCAGTTGACAGATCAAACATGTCAAGTTAGGGAACTGTATGAAGCCGGCCAGATATTCCCACTGAGTCAGCCCCACTAGGAAACAGCACGGGTGTTTAGGGCCTTGACACGTAAGCAGTTCCATCCAGCATTCCACTCTGGAGGATTCCAGCTCTTGAAGCCCTCGCTGGGGCCAGGTAGCGAGCCAAGCCCTCCAGAGCCCAGTGGAAAGGTTTGGACTTGTTGGCAGGAAAACCAAGTTCTTTTCTGCATGTGTTATGTGAACAGATGTGAGAAAAGAAGTAGGTCAAACTGTGGGTGTAGCGAGCCCAACTGGCTGCGTCCCTTTAATTATAAGGAAACTTTTGAGCTTTGCAGCTTTCCACCAGCTGAATGGCAAAGAGGAAAAAATAAAACGTTCCTTGGAACAGAAGGATGGCACTAAACACACCAGCTGGGACCAGGGTGCCCGTGCGTGGCTAAATGGCAGAGATAAAGGGAGAGAAAGGCTCAGTTGAGAGGGCAAAGGTGATAGGCATGGTGGCAGTCCTTTAAAATTCTAAAAATGGCTTGCTTGTCCAACTGTGGGAATTCGAGTTACAAATACATAAAAAAAGGCACTGTTGCTACAGTGTGAAGACTGACTTTACATTACTGTCCAAAAGATGGTGGCGAGGGGAGGGAAATGAGGAAGGAGATTTGAAACCACAATACTTTCACTCCCAAGATCACTGAATTGGTCAGGGATCCTGCAGAAGAGTTCAAAAACAGAATTCAGGGCTCTGACAGGATTCACCAGACCACAGGCAGTGTGTAAATATGGTAGACGCTTCCTGCTCCTTCTTCAGGACACCTGACTAATTATGTCTGGAGACCAGGGGTCTTTATGTTCTGAGAGCAAAAATGGCAAAGGTTTTATCTCTTCTAGATACAGTTCAGTTCCAGCAAGAAGAGATTGCCAAGACTGGAGGTCAGCCCGGTACAGAGGCAGCCCAGCAGAGAACCTCTCTGTGGAGAAGTTGGGCATGGTTGTGGCTTTGCTTTAAGCCCAGGTGTCCACAGACAAAAGGCCCTTATCTATTACCTATGCTAGGAGCTTTCTGGAGTCAGATGGTCTACCCTTAGTATTCTAAGGATCTGTCATTTAGCCATGTCTAGGCATTTTCTGGACTCTGTCTTAGGGTTGTCATTAGGAATTCTAGTACTCTCGTGTCACATCTAAGTCTGGAACCAGCTGGTGCACACCTGTCCACGACATAGGTGGCTCTACTTTCTGGTTCTAGCAAGGCATTTGGAGAGGAACGTGGCCCTTGCTGAGGGCAGGCCTTGGGGAGTGAAGGTTCTTCAGTCTGTGGCGGGTCTGTGGCCCAAAATTCTAGCCTTGCCCTGCATTCCCTGGATGTAATGCTTTCCTGCTCCCACGCTTCTCTGACTTCAGAGGACATCAATCCTCTGGGAAGAACGAGTCACGATGAGCTCTGTCCATCATCGCTTGGTGCCATCACATAATGGTCTTTATCTGTCTTACTCAGCTGGGATCAGTATGCTGAGGGAAGGTGGTTTTGACAAGAGGGTGGCACAGAGCATGGGGTGACTTCATGCCAAGGACCAGATACTTGCCCTGGGTTCCAACTTCTCCACTCACTGACTCCATGACTTTGGCAATTACTTCATCTCTCTGAGCCTGTTTCCTCATCTGTAATAATGTCTACCCATCAATACACAATACCCCCACCAAGGGTATTGTGAGGAGAGTACTTTGTTGACGGAAGCCGAAATGCACCATCCTGAGGCTGGTGACTGATCATGGCGTTGCAGACGAGCTGGAGCAAAGGGAGGCTGTCAGGCCACTGGCACCTGTTCTGGATCTTCTGCCAGCTGACCGGGTCACCTCGAGTAGATTCCTCACTTAAGCTCTCTCTATGCCTCAGTTTCCTTGTGAAATGGGGATTATATAAGTGCCTGCCTCCCAAGGCTATTTTGAGGATATATATTAAAAGAGAACATAAAAAATCTAGGCCTATGGGACCGGCAGTTGGTGTAACGGCTATGTCACTGGACTCCCATGTAGTCAACCATGGTTTGAGTCCCAGATCCAGTGCCTTAAACTCATGCCAGGCACGTGTGCGTGCGTGCCCAAGATCCCGAGAGGAGAATGGAGGAGAAGAGATTGTGGCATGGCCATCCCCCCTGGGGGGTGATTTCTCGCTTTCTGTCTCTCTGTCTTTCTGGTAAGTGCACGCACCCTATAGCAAAAACCTCTCAATAAATAAATAAATAAATAAATAAATAAATAAATAAATACTCACTAATACACCTAATTCTCTGAATAAGAGCACAGGCCTCGCATGTGAGGAGGATGTTCATTCATCTTTGCCTTCAAGCTTGATGTTCACAACAGCCCTCACAGTTTCACCTGTTCCTAACATGGAAGAAGGAAAGAAACTTAAGATTTACTAGGACCCATGTGAGCCAGGCACTGACATACCCTCCCATTTAATGAAACCTCCAATAATCCTTTGAGACTGTAATTATTTTAAAAATAAGGAAACTGAGGGGCTAGCCAGTAGAGTAATGGCTAACGCACTGGACTCCCACATGGTCCACTGCAGTTTCAGTTCCAGGTCTGGCAGCTTGAAAATCACTCCAGTGCATGTACGTGCATGCCCAAAATTCTCAGAAAAGAATGGAAAAGGGATTGTAGTGTGGCCATTCCCTCCAGGAGGTGACTTCTCACTTTCCCTCTCACTGACTCCGTCTCTCTCTGGTGAGTACACATGCCCTACGGCAAAAACTTAACAAAATTAAAGCAACAAAGAAATTAGATTCAGAGAAACTAGTTGCCTACTTGTTATTGATAGTAAATGGTCTGGATCTGAGTTCAAGGGAAATTGAGTCAGTTTAAGAGAAACTAAATCTTATTCCTAGGCCAATAATCTTCTGGAAAGAAACAAAATGGTACCTGAATAAGTAAGAAGTCAGTGGGCCTTTTGTGTCATCTATCACAATGTGCAATGAATAATTATATGAGTTGTCATTTCTTAAGAATACTTGCCTTTTGTTGTAGGTTCCATTAAGAACATGTCATTTGTTCATCACTGTTTCCAGTGGCTAGCACATAGTAGATGTTCAGTGAATGTTTTTTACTATCTAATGTGTTCTACCTCCCCTGCTAACATCCTCAGGGATGCCTTCTAAGTAGACTGGCGCAAGGTCAGATTAATTCTGGATATGTCCACTTACAAACTTGTCTGTCAGTTCAATCTCGTGTCTACCTGACAATTATCTTTTAGAAGGCAACTAGGGACCAGCAGATGGCATAATGGTTACATTGCTGGACTCCCAAGTAGTTGCCTGCGGTTGGAATCCCAGAGCTAGTGGCATAAAATTCTTGCAGGCGTGTGTGCATGTATGCCCAAAATCCCAAGAAGAGAATGGAGGAGAAGAGATTGTGGCATGGCCATCCTCCCTTGGGGTGATTTCTTGCTTTCTGTCTCTCTGTCTCTCTCTAAAAAATCTAGGTCCAGCAGGTAGCATAATGGTCAAGGCACTGGATTTCCATGTGGCCAACTCTGTGGTTTCGGGCCAGGACCCAGTCGCTTAAAAAACACGCCAAGGGTGTGTGCATACAAGCCCCAAATCCTGCGAGGACAAGGGAGAAGAGACTGTGTGTGGCCATCCCCCTTGGGGGATGATTTCTCACTTTCCCTCTCTCTCTCTGTCTCTTTCTGGCAAGTGGACACACCCTCTAGCATACAAATATATTTTTAAAGAGTGCACATGCCCTATGGCAAAACTCTAAAAAAAGGGGAAGGAGGGTAATATAAAATCTACAGTGTTTAAGAAAGTGCCCAGCACATAGAACGCTACAATGCTCTATAAATGATTGTTCACGTTCCAACAACTTGGTATTGGCACAGGTGTGCCGTGATCAGAGGGCAGGGGAGATGAGGCCTTATTAGGTATGAATCCTTCCTGCTATGCCGGAAGAATGGGGCCAAGGTAGCATGTCCACACACCGGCTCTTCCGTCAAAAGGGAACCTCGGAGTGTTTTACCATGCAGGGATTGGAGTGTTCCATTTCAGCAGGGTGTTGGAGAGCAGCCCAAAACACACACCCTGAGCTAACCCCACACCTGGGGCCTCTCCAGGAGATAAGAACATGCCTGGTTGATGGCACCCTGGCTCCCCAGCTCATCAGGCACTAGAATGTCATCTGAGACTCAAGCTCACTAGGTCCACCTTGCACGTCTGAAACCCAATTCACATCCAGGTGATTGGAAGCTCTGAGCCAGAAGTCTTATGTAGTTACTACTTTTTACCCCAGAGTTACTGTTCTTTGGTGTTACTTTTTCCTTTTTTTTTTTTTTTCTCAACTTTGCATCTCAGAAATAGTTGAGCTGATTTATTTCAATAGAAATATGTACATTTGTATATTTCTCTATGTTTATAAATGCTATCTTAGTGACAGGCTGTGTCAACACCCAAGACTATCCTGCGTGAAGAACTGGAGAGGCAGGCTCAGGGCTATGCAACTGACCCACTTGGTCGCATTCATGGACAAGACCCAAGGATCTATCTGTTTTATTGGAGTTCAGATGTATACGTGAGTGTTTTTGTTTTGCCAGACGGCATGTGCATTGCCAGAGAGAGAAAAAGAGAGAAGAGGGCAGCAAGAAAGCACACCCCATGGGCGTGGCCATGCCACAATCCCATCTTCACTCCTTCCTACTTCTGAGGTTTTGGGTGCACACATGCACACATGCCTAATCTGTTTTTCAAGATGTAGGGTCTGGGACTTCAACCATGCTGTCAGCCATGTGGAATCTGGCTCTCAAGCACCACACCACGGACTGGCTCTGAGGTCTGTTTTAAATGTGCCCTCAGGGTGAATGTTGGCAGTTCCACACAGTTCTCCCTAGTACCAACTGGCACTGCGTGTGCGATTTTGGTAAGAGATGCCCCAGACTCGGGAAATCAGGGTATATGCTATGCTGTGGAAACCACAACTGACAGGCAGGTATGGGAACACTCATGCACGAAGTCAGCATTGCACCAAATGGAAACAGAGTCACCTGCCGCAAGGCTCCCGAGTAGAACCCTGGGAGTAAAGCAGGCCATAGAGCTGATCTCTCTCTCTCTTTCTTTTTTTTAAAAATAATTACTTTATGGCACCAGCAGTTAGCGTAATGGCTATGTCGCTGGACTCCCATGTAGTCGACCATGGTTCAAGTCCTGGACCCAGTGGCTTAAACTCACGCCGGGCCTGTGTGCGTGCGTTCCCAAAATCCCGAGAAGAGAATGGAGGAGAAAGAAGGGATTGCAGCATGGCCACCCCCCACCCCCAGGGGGGTGATTTCTCACTTTCTCTCTGTCTCTCTCTTGTCTTTCTGGTGAGCACACGTGCACTATAGCAAAAACCTCTCAAAAAAAAAAAAAAAGAATTACTTTTTTTAACCTTATTTATTTATTTATTTATTTATTTTAATTTGACCAAAGAGGGACAGAGTGAGTGAGAGAGAGAGAGAGACAGAGAGAGGGAAAGTGAGAAATCAAGCCCTAGGTCCGGGACTCGCAATGTGGTCGGCCGTGTGGGAATCCAGCACCTTTACCTACCATGCCACCTGCCTGCTCCACCGATCTCTCTCACCTCCTCTTTTCTTTTCCCTTCTAATCCCTACTCTCCCACAGTAATGCCCTCACCCTCCCTAGTATTCTAGGGGATTTAAACTGATAAATAACAATATGCAAAAAGAAAAAGCAGTGATAATAAGAAACCCTTATCTTTGCAAAGCAGGAGAAATTCAGTTCCCTGCATGGCTTGATTTTATTTATGTATAACAAAAAGGCTTCTACAATGATAATTTTTAAAATTACATGTTAAAAATTTGAAATTCCTTGCAATGTAAATGTGACATTTCAACGAGCAATGTGCTTTTCAAAAACAAGGCACATTCTTCCCAGTTACTTACTTTTCTTTTTTTTTTTTTCAATTCACTTAGTATCATTTTACAAAGCAGAAAATCTTATCTTTTATTTTATCCTTTTTTGGGGGGGGAGAATATTTACAAGATGCTGCAGCAAATGTAGGTTCCTACTAAGAGAGATACATTTGAGATGGAAACTGTCTAATTATACTTCACAGGTTCAAAGGATGGATTTATTACAGTCAATGCAAGCTGATATCCCTTTTATCATTATTGCTTCATCGAACGAGTGGCTTAGTCAGTAATATAGCTCTTAGAAATCCCCTTAGGATAGAGGGTGCTGGAAGTCCCATTTGAATTGAGACGTGAGACTATTTATAGGAAGAATAAGTCATCTCTCAGAGATCTGGAGGGATATTAAGTGCCTTGATTTTTAGATGTCCATTCAAGATGGATTTCTATCAAATCTGGACAAAATCAACTGAGCAAGAACCACAGTGTTTTTCAAGGTTAGAAGCTTAAGCTAAGAAGAAGTTGTAATATAAAGCTTACATAAAATGCTGTAAGTATGGGACCAGCAATTGGCGTACTGGCTATGTCACTGGACTCCCATGTAGTTGACCACAGTTTGAGTCCCGGACCCGGTGGCTTACACTCGTGCCAGGTGCGTGTGGATGCATGCCCAAGATCCCGAGAGGAGAAGGGATTGTGGCGTGGCCATCTCCCTGGGGGTGATTTCTCGCTTTCTGTCTCTGTCTTTCTGATGAGTGTTCACGCCCTATAGCAAAAACCTCTCAAACAAAAACATAAAAAAAAAAAGGGCAGCTCTAAGTGCATAATTAACTATGCCACACCTTGAAAAGCTCTCACTGTCACGCACTAGCCACCTCCGTCTCTGGGGCGTGTAAGCAACCCAGAATCCACAGTGCCTGTCTGGGTTCCTTCATCCCATACCACGCTGAGCATCTAGCCAGTGCACACGCAGACACAGCTGCCCGCCTCAGCCAGACTCAATCCATTCCTCATTTGCAATCATATTCTTATTTCCCTAAAAAAGTGAACCTGAAAGGTTTCATTTGGAATATCTGGGGTGGAGTTTTTTTTTACCTTCGGTGCTGGGTTTTTTCATTTCTTCCACTCGAATGAGTTTCTTTCTGACTCTGCGAGTGGAGTTGACCAGCTTGTGCAACCTCTTAAACTTCACTGACTCCTCGGTCTCATCATCCGATTGTTCTCTTGACTGGCAAAGACACAAAGGAAAAGTTAATTAGATAATGAACGGGAGCTCTGCTCTTGCAGCCGGGGCCTCAGCGCCAGCCTGGACCTCGGCAGCTTTGTCACTGAACATGGGCACCAGCATATATGCTCAGCACGTTTCCCAAGCCCCACACACCACCCGAAGGTGGAAACCAGTGGAGGACTGGGTCCTGGGCACAGAAGTACACATCCTTGCCCTGGACCAGCATGTGGGGCATTTGTCTCAACCACTTCCCTGTCGCCTTTGAGAACGCCGCAGGGCAGCCCTGTAATTCCAGTTACGCTGCTGTGGTTTGGGCCAGGCTCTCATCTGTCTGGCCCATCAGAACTCGCTGTTGAACATGGTCATCAACGAACTTCTCCAAACCAAAATGCTGTTGACTTTTTCCAGTCCTTTCCCCGAAAATCAAAAACAGCAGGGCAGGAAAGGGGGGAGAGATACGAAACGGCCTTCCTCGATCTTATGTGCTGGGATGTCCTGCCACCTCCCAACTATCCCTCCCGCCTCTCCCGGCTCTCTCTGAGGGCTCCCAGGGCGAGCGAGAGGACAGACCCTGCATTCCTCCAAGAGAGACAAGGGAAAAAGCTGACCTTTCCAGCCATACAGTACGGTCCATATTCCCCAGCATCCCATTTCGTTCTGTAGCGATTCAAGTATACTCAGGCCCAGCTGTTTTCCCTCAAGTATCAAACATTACAGAGAGGAAAAAAAATCTCTCCGCAGCAGTGACCCAAGCTAAAAACAATCCTTTCCTTGTGAACAAAATGAGGGTTTCGTTTCCAAGTCAGTTCCAGCATTCAATATGCAGCTTCCTCTGCTGTATCTGTTCAAAATGTGAAAAAGCAAAAGAAGTCTCCAACTAAATGAGCGTGCAGCCTGGCCCCAATGCTGGGGCATCCCTGGGGTGTGTGGCCCCGGCACACCCTCCGCAGGTCCAGAGCAATTCCAGCTAGCCCTGCACATCCCGACAGCAGCCTCCTCTCCACGTCCTCAAACCCAGTTCACGGAACTGTGGGAGAGAAATGCATCCAACTAAAAAAGTCAAGCAAAAGGAAACCACACCTCCAAGTTCAAGTCTAATGTGGAGACTGTTTTCCCCAAGAAAATATACATAAGCAAGAATTAGCAGGGCCCAGTTCAAGAGGAGAGGAGGTAGAGATTATATTAATTACTTGGGCATAGTTGTCAACCACTGTTCAAGTCCTGGACACGGTGCCTTAAAACTCACACCAGACGTGTGCATGCATGCCCAAAATCCTGAGAGGAGAATGGAGGAGAAAGGACTGTGGCGTGGCCATGCTACCTGGGGGGTGACTTTTTGCTTTCTGTCTCTGTCTCCAGCGAGTGCATGCACCCTATAGCAAAACCCTCTCTTAAAAAAACAAAACAAAATTACTTGGGCATAAAAAAAGATGCATGTCGTAAGTTCACAAACATTTTCTCTGGAAGGGATATCTTGACCTATCCCCTGGCCTCTGGCCTCACCCTGGAGCTCACCACTGTGCTTTCCCCAGCACGGCCAGCAGCACACCCTTCACCCACTAATTGATTACTGATTACGACAAACCTCTCATCAGCAGGTCATCAGGACCGTGGGATTTCTCAGCCTTCCGTTCTATGATACGTATCTATACCTATGTCCAGTTTCTCCGGACATGCCTAAATAAAATGCTGTATACAGATTTCAGAATTAAAGCTAACCTGGAGATGAAAAGTTTTTACTGGTTTTTACCAGAACCCCCAAGTGATAGAGGAAGAGAATGGTGAGTGGGGTGCTTGGCCAACACTTAAAATGTAAATAAGTTTAATTTCAAATACATAATGGCGTTGTCTGGTTTGAATTTCACTCTTTCTTTAGTTGGGGATGTATGAGGAAAAGGCCAGAGTGGTTCACCAGAGGAATGAGAACTGGGCTAGCCCTCATTCTGGGTAATCTGCACCTGAATAACCCATAGTACATGCAATTACAGATACGCATTTTAAAACATTTTGTCCTTCTTTTTAGTTGCCAGAAGGTGCATGTGCTTGCCAGAAAAAGAAAAGAGAAACAGAGAAAGAGAAAAGGCACCCCAACCCCATGGTGGAATCTGATAATGCTTTGATTCCTTCTCCTCCATTTCTCCATCCAGTCTTGAATCTGGGCACACTGGGGCTGGGATTTGAACCATGGTTGGCCATGTGGGATCTGGCTCCCTTAATGACTGGGCTACAGGGCTGGCCTAACATTCTGCCCTTTTGATGATGAGCTCTAACACCAATAAAAATCTAGTAGAAGCAGAATGAAGGTTATATTACAGGAAGCCTCTGTACAGACCAGAGGGACAATCTTAGAATGTATCTCTGACTCTCATATTAGAAAAGATAGAAATTGTGGCTGGAGGCTGCCGTGGTGGTTGGGGTACTAGACTCCAACATGGTCGACCACAGTTCAAGTCCCAGACCTGGTGACTTGCTTTCTCTCTCTCACTCTCTCTCACTCTGGTTGAATTGAAGGAGAATAAATGAATAAAATTAAATAAATAATTCTTTCTTTTTTTTTAAGAAAAGATAGAAATCCATCGAAATCACTGAAACATATTTCTCATACCTCGTTTGGTTCTAATGGTAGTGGTGAGTGTGCATGTTTAAGATAGAGAGAAGTAAAAAGAGAAATATGATGTGGAGAAAGGTGATACGAAATCCTTAGTCCACAAAGACACAAACCACATGCAGAAAAGGTGCATTAAGTGAACTTTTCAGGGAGAAATCAGGACGAGAGATTTCAAAGTAATGCCCTTCATTCCCCTGCCCAGATTCACTGTGGTAAAAAAATAACATATTCCAGGTACTTACTTAATTGCTTTCACATGTTCCATCTATCTTTGAGAAACATGATCTCTTTAGAACTTTGCACTGATGATTTTTATTTTTCTAAAAACATAAGGATTTTGGCAGCACCGTTCACCATTGACAACTCACAGGCCATGGCGACCATGAACTTCCTGTGCATTACCATGTTTCTGACGCTAGAAGAGGCAGATGCGGTGCAGTTTATGTACAGGCAAATGTAAGGTAGAACCCAGGCCACTCGAAAGATATAGGAAGAGGGTCAACAGGTGGCATAGTGGTTAAAGCGCTGGACTCCCACATGGTTGACTGCAGTTCAAGGGCCAGACCTGGTGGCTTGGGACACTGGTCCCCTGAAAATCACGCCAGGCCAGTGCGTGTGCATACCCAAAATCCCAAAAGGAAGAAAAGGGATTGCGGGGTGGCCATCTCTCCCGGGGGTGATTTTTCACTTTTGCTCTCATTGCCTCTCTCTGGCAAGTGCACACACCCTATGGCAAAAACCTTAAAAAAACAAACAAAAAACATAAAGAATGAGAAAGAAAGATTGTTCATGGAAAACTTCCTTCTCAGTTAGCCTAGAAGTTATTTGAGTTCAGCAGTGTATCCTAAATGAATTGATGGAGAGCTGCTGACTTCTCACTTCCTCCTGAGGCCAGAAGAAAAGAGAGCTGTGAAATATTTGCCTCTAAAAAAAATTCTTCCTGCTGTTTTAACATAAAGATGTCATAAGAGGCTTGACTTCCTCCTAAACTGGGAGTAAAGCTTAAATTCCTCAATAAGCATGTGCCGCTTCCCAAATGCTGAAACTTACAAACGGCATCTTTTTACTCAGGAAATGGAACACCAAGGAGAGAGGGAAGAGAAAATTTAAAATGAAGAAACATCAAATATACACAGATCTGTAATTTTTCAATTAAAATATTACTTTTGTTTTAAATCGCGCCACTTGAACGAATATTAGAGTAGATAGAGAAAATCTGCATTGTATGTAAATTAAATGATTAATTCCAAGAAACAGGCTGAGAACTATCATAGAATAGGTGGTAAATAAACTAAAGTAAAATGAAATTTTAGGGCCAGCCAGTGGCATGGTGGTTGATCCCACATGGCCGGCTGCATGGTTCAAGTCCTAGACCTGGTGGCTTGAGAAATACACCAGGGGTGTCTGCATGTGGGCCTAAAATCCCAAGAGAAGAATGGAGAAGAAGGGATTATGGCATGGCCATCCCCACTCAGGGCTGTTTTCTGTCTGTCTCTCTCTCTCTCTTTCTCTGTCTCTCTGGTTGAATTGAAGCGCATATGCAATATAGCAAATTTTTTTAAGTATACGTTCATACATATTCAAACATGCGGTGATGTGCTTTCCCCTCCCTGCTCTGCCCCAGGTCAGAGTATTAACGTCACCTTTAATCTGATCATCCTCTAAACAAGAAGGTGAACACAGCCATCTGCATAGCCATCGCCTGTCCAGACCTTCCAGAGAAAGA